GCATTTTCTGTGCCTGAAGCGCGGAATTGTGGTGGCAGCTGTTTGGGGCGAGGGGAGCGCGTCCCCTCTGACCCGCGCCCTGCCCTCTGACCCGCCATGAATCCCTAAAAGCGGGGGTCCCCCGGGGCCACGGCACACGAGCCCCTTTTGTTCCCGGCGCTGGCACCGTCCCGGGGGGCTGGAGCCACCGGGCTGGAGCTGAGCGAGCGTCTGGCCCCGACCTTGCAGGGACAGGCTCGGCTTTATCCCCGGGAGCGAGAGGCTTCGGTTCTTAGGGAGCGTTCTCTCCTCGTGAATCCATCGGCCAAGGTTACACCGAGCGGGAATTCCGCCCCCCTCCCCTCCCGCCCCTGCCTCAGGTTTGAGAATAAACGCAGGAACTGTCAGTGGCATCGCCAAAAACGATCTTAGGACAAAGAGGGGGCTTCCATTCGAGGAAATGTACCCACGCCTATTGCGAAATGGTTAAAAAAAAAAAAATCACCATAATATGCCTTCCCATCGCCTGTATATTTATCTCGTACGCCGTGCTTTTCTCATGGTTTTCTTTTTTTTTAATTTATCTTACCCCCTCTGGTTGGATCGGGCTTTTTTAGAAGCGAGAAATGGCATCTCAAAGATGCTGAGATCGTATCTGCAAAGACCGGCCTCCCCTCTGTAGCACCGTCAAAATGCTGTTGCTTTTCTCCGACGCTAAAATAACGCCAGGCTCGCCTTTTGCTAACCTGGCAAAATCACTTCCTGCATATTTATCAATTTGGGGAGGTGGGTTAGCATGGCAAATTTCCCTGAACAAAGATTGGGTGAGATGTATCAGTTCATCCAATACCATGTCTGTCACTTATGTAGACAGAATAAATCGGAGTCCCGGCTTTGCCCTCAATCGTGCCTGAATTAAGGATATATTTTTATGAAAGTTTTATGGGAAGATTTTAATTTGCGATTCTTTTAGGAGAGAACTGCATGAAACTCTATGAAAATAATCTAGTATTTAATAGGTGGCTTTTTGAAACGCGGCCGAACGTGGATGGAAGGAGTCCGGATTTATTCCGAAATGGAAATTATTGTTCTATCCCGTTAAAAAAAGCCCCAAAAAACCCAAAACACCAACAAAGCAGGTTAAAGAGAGGAGCTGCACATAATGAGTCAAGGAAATCCTTGCGCTGTCCCTTTAACCACCGAACATCTGATTCCCTCATCTGGCAGATGGTCTCTGAGCACAGATTTGCATTCATTGTCTTGAAATCTGTTTTCGCGTTGGTGTTATATAGATTTCAGAGGCAGATCTATACACGGATCAGAATACAAAAGGGCCAGGAGGAAAATATCGCCA